CTCCCATTTTACATGAAATAAGTTGACAATGTAAATTGCTTAATATGTTGTATTCTGCATAGTAAGCACTCAATAAACCATTGTAATTATGATTTCATTATTAAGGTTGGGACATTATTAAAAACAGTTCTAGAACTTGTTGATGACTTCTAAAAAATAAAATACCCCACATTTACCATATGTTTCTATTTGGATTATTGGATTTCAAACATATCCAAAATAACTTACCCAAGATTAACAGGCAGTATATATTCTGGCACAGTGTTTTAGAACTGGGAAGGAGTTGAGCATATGAAACAAAAGACAACCTGCTTTCCATGTTTGCAGCATTTATAAATTATGATGTTACAAACAACATAAAAATAAATACAATAATACCTGTGATCTGCCTCATTTGCTTTTTGTAAAGATCAAATGAAATAATATATGAGAAATTTCTGTGTAAAATATCAAGTACCATCACACAAAGACAAAATACTGTATCAATATTACAACGAATAATAGTGCCATTAGCTACTAATTCTTGTGCATTTACCATGTGCTACTGTCCTAAGTGCTTTACATAGTCTTATTTAATCTTTTCAGAATCCTTATGAGGTAGATATTTACAGTTGAAGGTAGAAATATCCGTGTTAATTTAGACTTCACTCCAAAACTTTTACTTCAAAGCTTATATGCTTAGTCACTGTACTGCCCTGCTTCTTCTGATCACGGGAAAGGGCTAGAAAATAAAATCCTTGCAAAATTAAACCTAGAAATAAAGCTTGTTATTTCAGTAGTTTTTCTAGGCTATCAAGTTATATGTTATCAAGTTATTTGAAAGTCTGACCATTACAAAGCAATTCTTTTTTAAGCTCATATATATGACTTTTATTCCTATTCTTTCAAAACTATTTTATGCTGAAAAACCACAGTACAGAAGTTTCTATATTTTATCTAATTCTCTATATGCTGCTTGAGAGAAAAAAATGTATTGGTAAGACTGTGGGTCTAAAACCAAAAAAGAAGTTTCATGACAATTATCTATCAAATTATGAATTTAATGTAAGCCAAACTTGACAGGAACATATATCTGTCATAAACTTTACATATATCTAGATTGACAGTGGCCTCAGGGACACTTGTACATCCAAATATGAAATAATAACTGTTTTAAAGTGCCAGCAGCAGACTTAATAAAAAGCCTAGTGTGCTGCATGAAATATAAGAGAAGCAGAAATGGATGTCAATAATAGAAAAGCTGTTTTTCTTTACTTGTGTGCTTATATTCCAATAATAGCATATATTCAAATTAAACCACAGACAATTTACCCATTTATTTTTAAAAAACAAAGTTAAGTACATTAAACAAAAGAATGACAGAGCTTACCTCCTTCTCTTTGAACGATGTGATAGAGGTGGACATTGTGTAGGATACATTCCAGGTCGTGGTCCGTGTAGCCTTTATCATGCATGTCATCCACTGAATCAGGATAGATGACTTGATCCCGAAGACTTCCAAGAGACATGTATGGCCTATGACACACCAAGCACACAAGAATCCTAGTACATCATTTCAGTTTACTCGGTGTGACACCCCGGTGGTCTGAAAACGCCACTGCAGACCTTACATACCACATTTCTAGGGTTGTAGCTGTGGCCTAGCGATGAGTATTCTTTTCTCGGGCACGGCAGGATAATATACTGCTATGTTCATGTACGGATTTACTGAAACATAGCCACAAATAAAGTTCTATTTCAAATCTAACAAGAGATAGTTGGATCGTTTCAGCAGCAGAAACACATGCATATTTCACTTTATTTTATAAATGTTGCTTCTGTATTTTATCAAATATTATTTAGGTTAACTATTATAAAATTTAAGATTTTGACCCAGCAATGTGAACAAACAAAACTTTTCTTTAAAAAAAAATGGTATTCAAAATAAGAGAAATGCAAATTAAAACTACCCTGTGTTACGTACTTGTACTTATCAGATTGGCAGAGTTTCAAAAGCTCGTCAACTCACTCCAACCTCTGGAGAAATAGGTGTGCTCATACAGTGGTGAAGGTGTGAAATGGTACAACCCTTTGGAGGGAATATGGCAAACCAACATATCACTTGACTTTTGATTACTTCTAAGAATTTAAAGATATACTTCCAAAAACACCAACAGTAACTAAAAAAAAGCGCATACTGTTATCCATTCAGATTATTTGTAATTGCAAAAGATTGAAAACAACTAAAATGCTCACACAAAGGAGACTGACTAAGTAAACTATAATACCTGCCTCCTGTAGCTATAAAACAGGATGTGGAGACTTTTGGAAATTGATAGAATGATTTCCATAAGTTATTGTGAAGTTCAAAAAAAAAGTGCAAAAGTAGATGTATAGCAGGTTTTCTCAACAGTTCCATCATGAATACACTGAACTACATACTAGTATTTCTTTGTTGTTGAGGGCTATCCCATGTACCGTAGGACGTTTATCAGCATACCTGGTCTCTATCCATTAGACACTAGTAGCATCCGCTACAGTAATGATAAAAAAATTCTTCAGATACTGTTCCCTGGGGGGACAGAACCATCCCCAATAGAGAACTATTGATCTATACATTCATCCCGATATCTGCATCAACCAAAAAAAAAATGAGATCGCGTGTCACCTCTGACACGCGTGTTATAGGTTCGCCATCACTGCCTTAAATCATCTCCAGATTACTTGTAATTTCTAATACAATGTAAATAGTTGTTACATTATTGTTTTCCTTGTAATTACAAGGAAAAAAGTCTGTACGTGTTCAGTACAGACAAGCATAATGACATACAATACCCATGAGCAACAACATAACACTTATAAATGTTTTTGATCCATGGTTGGCTGAATCCACAGATGTGGAACCTGCAGGTACAGGTGGCTGACTGTAATATGCCATCTTTATGTAAAATAAACTTAAGAAAATACATATTGTATGCATATATGCATAACCTGTGGACACAGACAATAGGGTGGTGAGGGCCTGGGGGATGAGGACAATGGGAGAGGGCTTGAAGAGGTTAATGAAGGGAAAAGGAGGGTCTATGTAATACTTTCAACAATAAAGATTAAAAGGAAAAAATAAAATACATATTTATCTGCTTATTTTTACAAGGAGAAACACAAGAAGGTTTTGCTTTATTTACAAAAGGAAATGCAGTAAACCAGAAACTAATGAAATTGATTACCTGCTGGACATGGGAGGATCAAGTCAGATTGGATTTTGGGAAGAGTGACCTAAGAGTCCTTTCTACGTAATTTTTACTTTTAGACTGGAAACAGCCCAAGTGCCCATCAGTAGACAAGTGGATAAATACGCTGTGGTACACTTACACCATGAAATACTATGCAGCAGTGAAAAAGAAGCACCTTTTACCCTTTGAGACAGCATGGAGGCACCTGGAGAGTATTATGCTAAGTGAATTAAGCCAGTCAGAGAAAGACAAGTATCACATGATCTCACTCATATGTGGAATCTAATGAGCAAAATAAACTGATGAACCAAATATATCCAGAGACATAGAAGCATAGAACAGAATGTGAAATCTCAGAGAGGAGGCAGGAGGAGGGTGGGTGGTTGAAAAGTGATCAAGCAAAGAACTTGTATGCATGTATGCATAATCCATGGACAATAGGTTGGTAAAGGCCTGGGGAAGGAGGTGAGGGCAGGCTAGAAGGGGTCAATGGGAGAATAAAAGGGACATACATAATACTTTCAATAATAAATATTTTTTTTAAAAAGAAAAGGCTGATGAAATTATACAAAAATCTATATATATAAAAGCCTAAGCAACCAGCCGATCGGCCAGTAGTTATGACACGCACTGACCACAGGGAGCAGATGCTCAACACAATAGCGGAAACCACGGGCATGAAAACATGGAACAGACTGATGAATCTCAGAGGGAAGTGGGGAGGGGGGAGGGTGGGGAGAGGTTAACTGAAGATCTTCTATGCATACTAGAGGCCTGGTGCACAGATTTGTGCACTGGTGGGGTTCCTTCGCCTGGGCTGTGGGGATTGGGCCGAAACTGGCTCTCTGACTCCACCAAGAGGTCCTGGATTGTGAATCCGTGCACCAGGCCTCTAGTATTTTATGAAATTATATATTCATTTAAGTTAACAAATATTGCTTTATTAAAGTGCCATTTTCTCTCAATCACTGCTTTATATTATGTAAAATGGTAAAAACAGTACATCATCTATGTGTTTAATGAGGTAGACAGAAACTAAGGGTACTCTAATAGGTTTTGTTAATATATTTATTTAAAAATATTATTATGAAGTTAAAGTTACCACAGAATCCTCTAGAAAGGCTATGTCAAGAAAATGTGGTATGATGTTGAATTTATTTTGAAAGCACAAGGGAATGGAGGACCCTATATCCAATGTTTATATGATTAGTTGCATGTGATCCTTTTTCCAACTCAAAAGCCTGGAATTTAACATGTTAACTAGCTCAAGTTTCTCTAGTCCTACCAAAGTTATACATAATTAAAGTACTCTGTACTAAACTTTCCTTTCTAGTTATATAGACGTATCCAAATTATCTTCTAATTATTTCAGGTAGATCAATGACCATATCAGAATGTTATTAACGTACTTGCTCTGGCTCATCAGGAAGAGAATCATGCAACATACAAAGTATAAGCAACAACCAAAAAATATATTGCTTATAATTAGTAGCTATCAACAGAGAAACACTAACTACTTTTAATTTACTTTCTCTAAGTAAAATTCAGAATCATTTTTATTTCTTGTGAAAAAAACACTGAAGTAAACCCATAGATATCACATTATAACTTAAATAATTATTATTACTTAAACAGCTATCATAGTTGTTTTTCTATGTGACCTGAAATTTCTTCAAATGCATGTATAATTAAAGTTGTTCATTGTAACAGTAAAGTTAAAATAAAAATGTTTGAGATCACTTCCATTCCCGGTGATTATGGCTTTTTATAGTTATTACAAATGTCTCAAGGTACGTTTGTAATCGGTTTTATATTCACCACCTTTTTGTCCTTACATATCGACAATTTATGGTTGTTTTGGTAAAGTATACTGACATTTTTAGGGTTTATAATTGTATTTTTATATTATTCTCTATTTTTCTAATTAATAGGGACAAAATCAGAAAGAAGGAAAAAACATACAGAAATGCTAACTCTGTGCTTGGAGTTTCTGGAATCATTACCCAAAATGCTAAATATTTCATAGTCATCTAGATTTTAATTGTGAACAATACTGATAAAAGTTTCACTGCAATTTAACTATACTTAAGGCATGTGCTAAGTTTAAGAATAAGGTACAGCTTAGAACTTACTATGCTGCCATAGTAATAAGAAGTTAGCAATCTGAAAGCCATAAAAATCTAGCTATTAATAATTCATATAAATGTACATGCTGGAACTGATCTGTCATCAAATTTTTTTCATGAATAGCAAAAATAAGATTTGAGTACTCAATTCATAAGTCATTTCTAATCTTAAAATAAGTATGTAGCAAAAAGAAGAAATACTCAACTGAAAAGAGATAGTTACTTATTATTGAAATTATATTTTTAGGATAAGATATTACTAGGTGCCAGAGCAGAAATGTGCACTTCCTCTTAGGAGCAGGGACTGTGCTCATTTCCAACCAATAAAAATAATATTAGTGGAATTATCAAAGTATCAGTAAGCTAATGAGAATACAAAATTTTTAAGAGTCAACTTTGTTAAGAGTATTTACCATTATATTAGATTACTGTATAAAATTTCTGATATTTTGATCTTTAAAAATTACCAATCCCACATGACTTACCCTAATAATTGATTCATGAAATGAGGAAAAACTTTTAGATGCAATGAAAGATTTTTTCCATTACTATTTTTAAAAATTGGCCCATAGAAGAGTTACATATGAAAAAAAGGCAACATTTTTCCAAACAGTAGAAAGCAATAGAAAATCATGTTTACAGTTATAGATCCCTTTAAGAGATTTTTAATAATGACTGTTAACAATTACTACACAGGATGTACCAAAATGTATAAATTACAATTCTGTCAGACAATTGTCCAAAGATATTTATGCAGTTTACTTCTTTGAGTCTAATGGTCATAAAGCAAAGGAATAGAAGTGAATTTGCTACAGCAAAACTACTGAAACTTTTTATATCTAAAAATATTTCTTTTAAGAAAGACATGTTAAATGACAAGCATTTATTCCCATCCTAAAGAGCATTATGTGACATATCTAGTGTAAGCAACAAAATAAAGTTTTCTCCCTAATTAGTATAAGGAGCCAAACTACTTTGGCAGTAGAAACCAAGTCTGTGAAGATATTCATTAATTTATTCAATTATTCATCAGAGGTTCATAGCACAATATGCCAATAGATACATTATAGGTTTAGTAGGATACCACCAATGCATAAAGAGACATGCAGGCCCCAGCTAGTTTTGCTCAGCGGATAGAGTGTCGGCCTGTGGACTGAAGGGTCCCAGGTTCAATTCC